TGTAAATAGCGCAGTCGGTTCTAATTGTAAATACAATTTTGCTTAATCGACAATCTTATGATAAACATGGGGTGAGAGTCCCGGCTCTCTCCGAAAAGCACATCTGCCCTCTTTCCTACAAGCGCCTGTGGTCGTGTGACTTAGTCGTAGTGCGTGGCTACTTAACTCAAACGACCTGAGTTCGATTCCCGTCGGAGGTACTGATGAGACCGAAGCTAAAGATGCGGTCATGCCAGGATGAGAATACCTCTTAGAAAGTAAGGCAAGACGAACTTCAATGACAACGGTAGGCTTATTTATTGTATTGCGTAAAATTCATTTATCAACTTATGCAATCTAATTTGAGTTGATTTCTGAGTGAAGAAACTTGTTGTCAACTCAGGGTTGACATAAGCATGTGCCGGCGCTCTGATGATGTCTGCGAATTGGTATGAGAAATGAAAGGTATGCCCACCGTCACAGGAACCGAGGGAGGTTGTCCCGAGTATTATGCTCGCCGAAACGTTCTACCAAATAAAAACGATTGCAGATCGCGAATGACCATCCCTCGTCTTTATATAACACTTTTCTCAAAATAAAAAACAATTCAACCTTGTTTTATATACCGCGTTTTATTAGCATTTAAAACGTAGAAATGCCTACATGTGTTGAAGGCATTATGCTTCCTATTCCTTTAAACTGTACCGGGATTACCTTATAGGGAATATTCTTGAAAGAGTTTATACTCATATCCATAAAATGTATTTGTAGCTCCTCCTCCGATGTAAGCATGATGCGTCGTTTACCCTTAGCATTTTTTATTTGGCCTCAGGTAAACATCTACAGTTAAGTATTGTTACTTCGCGAGCATCGAATACAACGTGTTTGAGAGTAGGACAGGAAATCAAGAGGATCATACATTTACACTCTTATCAAGTATAGCCTTGATAGGTATCGTGTGTAGCAATAATCATCTTTTGCTTATTCCGAACCCTATTCAAAATTTTGCTTGTGTATCAGTTTTGATCAGCCAGAAAATGGATGACACAACTGAGGCTTCATCTTCTCTTGCGCTGGAAAAGAAGACGGCTTTCTGCTCACCTAAACTGTCCCAGAATGACGATGGCTCGGAAGCTGCAAGTGTGGATGTCTATCCGGGACCGGGAGGTGGGAGACTCTGGAGCCACAACGAAGAGCCCGATGAACGAGAGCCAGTAGAGCCTGAAGAAGAGATGAGAGAGATGATACTCTCCAATTGCCCTCTAGACCTGCGACTTAGCAGCAACAAAAGATTGGAGACAAGTTTCTGAACAACCGAAAGAAACTTTATTTCTATGTAAAAACTTATTAATACTGACATTAGTATGGTCGATAATACAGAATGACGATTGCCTGTTCGGCTGGTTATGTTGATTCCTCCTCTAAAGTTTTCCGTTTTCTCCCTTCTCACAGAAAAATAAATAAAGTAATGTATAAACAAAAAGCGATGAGTTTATTTGCCTGCAAGATCAAGAAAGTGAAACAGTATGAAATCATTGTATCCAGCTAACACGAAACTAAAAACTGATGATAACGACGGATTTTAACATGTGTCAACTTAAAAAGAATCCCCTCTTTTTAAGAGGCTAATTTTAAGTAGTGTAATTTACATCTTTACAGAAAATTAGTTTTTCATGCTAGGAGACGAGGTTTTGAGCGCATCATGATTTCCAGATGAGCTAAAGCATTGAACAATCAGACTGCCACTCTGGTGCTGGTTGACTTTTCATCTGGCCTGGATAAGCCTTGTTCTAGGGCTCCGAAAACCGGAAGGGTTGGGTCGCAGAATTGGGTTAAAATGACTGGTCCGGGGGATTTGAGCCGGTCAACCGAGGAGCAGACCGGATGGACGTGAGGAAGTAGTGAGGCAGAAAGGGCGAAAGGGCAGACGCGCCTAACGCCCATTTCAGAGAGCGAACCAGCCACATTTTGTCTCTGACTCGGCTGTCCCAGAACCTCTGCATCCATTCTCCTATCTTCATCTTCTTCTGTTTCTTTATCATTTTCGTCCTTCAGACAGCTCAATTTCACTGTCTGGTTCTTGCAAGCGGGAAGACTGGAAACTGTTGTTTCAATAGCCCCGTTTCCGTCTGAATTTGTCCCGACGTCGTTGGTGCGACCAGATAGGGTAGCCACGCCACCGACTTCAACGGGCCCAGAACAGGCCAGAGAAACCGCTGGCCTTGACGAAGTGATGTCTTGCCATGTGGTCTGAATGCCTCCAGAATTCTGTCGCTTAGGGCTCAAGGAGCATGGCTGGCAATTCTGGAGGTGAAAGAGTGGATGAACTTCACTGTCTCGGCCATGAGGTTTAGAAATGGATTGGTGATGATGCGGTTTTTCAGCACCATTCTCTAATGACCAAGACTCTGAAACAGAGGAAAAATATCGTAAAAATACTGGTCCAACTGGATCCTAGACAAAATTTGTATTCTTTAAATGAATAAATAAATAAATAAAAATATGAGACGTATTCATCCTATTTCGTGGAGATGATGAAGAACTAACTGGTAATTGGATTTTTCCACAATGAAATGAGTATAGCTGAATTTCACATAACCTTGCTCCTCAAAAAGTCTTCTCATCAAGGGTGAACAGAAGTTTTAACATGTACGAAGAAAAGTTGGGTTTCGAGGAATCTCTTGTTTCATAATTGTTGAGCTTACTTCCATTTCGA